ATTAGAAACTTACATGCTTAGTTGTAGATGAGGTGGATCTTGCCTTATTGTGCCTGTTTTCCGTATCACCAAATGAATGAAAATAATGACCTACTTTCTATGTGTCATGATGGTAGATTCTAAATACTCTGGTATTTTTATATCTTACAAAGAAATTGAATTTCAAATTAGTTTATCTTGTTATATTACAACTTTTTCAGGTAGTTCAAAACCCGAAGTGTCGTGTGGATCACTTTCTTTACCCAGTGCTGCCATACATGCTGGTAGATTAAATCAGGTAAACACCAAATACCTATTTTCCTAGAGCTCTTTTTTATTTAAATGTACTAAAGACCCCTATAGAGTAACTAGGAATAGATTTACATAAGCTTTCAAGGAGAGACCGTTTTACTTTTGCTTGTGGAATTCCTCAATTCAATTTTTATTCATCAATCTGTATATGTTGTTTATAGGGAATGCTTATACATGAAGAAAAAAAGAAACAAAAAGGAAAAGTGTTTTTGAGTCCCCAATCAGGTTTGTATCTGCTAATTCAGAAGTTCAGTATAAAAGCATGTGTCTCTAACCTGCTTTTCCTATCAATCCTTATGTGAACTCTGGCCAAAATGTTGAACACAGCACCAATCCAGATAGGTTGTTATGTAATTCTGTAGCGTAGCTGATTTTTTGTCAGTGTGTGGGATTTCTTTTGGTTCGTCTTGGAAGAGCAACTTGTAGAGCATGCCAGTTCTCTCTGCAGTCTGTTCTTCAGAGAACTCTGATGGATGCATTGCTTTTTATCCATCTCGGTTCTCCCTGTTTTGCGGTACATGGGGTTCTCTGTTTCTCTTTGGGCACCACATGCGGAGCACTTTCTTGTGAGGCTTCCTCAGAGAGGAATCATCTCGAATTCCCCACGATCGGCTAACTTAGCAGAGGATGTGAAAGCACGTCCTTTGAGCTCCCCGCATGCATGACAAGCAGAAGTCAGATCATGACCTTATTTATGCACATGCCTTCATGTGCAGTCTCTGGATGGGAGATGTCGTGTGCATTGTGTTAGCTTTCTTTCAGCAGTTTTACACATTTTATTCATTCAATGGTACAGTGAAGATTTTTAAAGCAACTGCTTTAATTGCCTTGAGTCTTGAATGCAACTCTATTGTCCATTAACATTAGCAATAATATAAAGATGACTTGAGCTTGCTTTCCTCATAGTCTGACAGTCTTTCTTCTGACTCATAATTCAGTGTTATTTTGTCTCTTTTTTAAAAAACTCTTAAAGTATAATTTTTTTTCTTCCCTTCCCCAATCTTAGGCAGCCTTTCCAATAAATACATGACTCAGGGAAAAGCCTCACAGAAGAGGACCCAGCAAGAATCATGAGGGATATGAAGCACTGTTAAAATGCAATACAGGCCATTCATTCATTTTTTAACTTTTTTTTTTTCACCCTTTGGCTAAAACATCTGGATTCACAGGACAGCAGCATAAATGATCTTAAATTCTAAAGAAATATGGATATTTTTGATGGCTAGTTCGAAATCTATGGATTTTAATATTGTCACCCACCATGGAACCCTATTTTAAATAGATTGTTTGAGCATTTTAATAGAAAGCCATGATGGTTAGTGTTTTTAACTAGGTAAAACAGGTAGATAAGGGCAGGTACTAAAAAATGGAGCATTTTTAAGGTACTGTCATTCAACCTGATCCTTTCAAAATGCACTAAAATTGTGTGCAAGCCAAATAAATTCTCTATTTTGTTCAAAAATGGACTTTTGAAGGAGGAAATAATATTTATTAATGTTGATTTGCTTACTGAATCCTTATGTAAAAGTATTTGAAATGTTTGTAGACTGCTACAACTGTGTTTGCAAACTTTTTTTTCTGTAGACAACAGAAAACATGGACATAAGCAAATTTATTTTAATTTTAAAAAAACTCTATATGCAAAAGTCAAGCAATGACACTTTTTTTTTTGATATCCTGTATTTTATTTTATGAGAGTTCATTTGCTGCTGTGCTAGTGTACAGGAGAGGAGAAAGAAAGAATGGAAGACTTGAACAGGTCTGTCCTGTTTGCTGCTAATGATCTTTTTTCATGCCCTTAAAGACAGATTAAATTGCTTAAAGAATAATTAGTTAATTAAAAGGCATTTGGAAGAAGGTATTCCCATTTTCATAAAATGCGAAGAGGATTCTTCTACCAGCAAATAATTTAATGATATCCACTTGAACCTTACTTGAAATCCTGCCATAGCTGGTAATGTACCACCTTATCCTGTTCAGGAAATAATTAATTTACATGGTAAAATGGAAACCACTGTTATTTATGATTTTGAAATAAAAAAAAAATTGAAGTTCAGACAAGTTTCTATATTTTTTCTATATACTTTACCTATTTTGCAATATTCTTGATTTAAATGTACAATTTATTCTAACTTACTATTTCATGTCTGTTCCTTGAAATGTGTCTTCTGTATGTTTTTTTAATTGAATTTTATTTTTCTTAACTGTCTACTTTTAATAAAGGCAAAATACGGAATTTCGAAAGAGGCCTTAGGGAAGGAACTGAGATCCAAACTCCTAATTTGGATTTCATCCTGCCATAACCATCCATTTATAAATCTCTAGATAGGCAGATCTCCCTGCAAAATTCTTTTCTATTGCTTACCATATTTTTCAAGCAAAATCTTAACCAGCATCAAACAAAATACTGTATTTTTCATACAATAATAAGTTATTTTTCTCGAGAAAGCAAGCAAGCTGCTTTTTGTATTCATATTCATAACCAAATAATGCAGATGCTGACCTTATGTATGCAATGGCTTTAGCCCTCTGTTCAGAGCTATATACAATTTTTGCTGATGGTAATGAAATGTATAAACTTATAAAGGACAACAGCATCACAGCATATAAGATGGAAAATGTGTTTTGATGACAAAAATCAGATACACCCCGTTATTTTGTGGTTTAATTGTGAAACTTTCAACTATGAAATCTCTGAACAAACATTTGGATGAAAACAAACACAATCCTCTCACTTTGAAGCTGCTACCAAAACTACAAGTTTTATACCACTCATCTTTCATAGTCCTAAAATAACCCCCACAAGTTACATATTAGAGCCTTTAAACCAGTAAATAATAAATACATATATTTGCCTAGTGTTTAATAGTGTAGTGAAAACTTAGTATCTGTAATACAGAATAAACACAGTTTATGAGATGTTCTTCTCTGGCTTGGTTATTAAAGCTTAGTGTATTGCAGTATCTTAGGAAAGGGACTGAATGAAAACAAATAGAGTTTATAATTAAGCTATGGCTCAGTAATGAATACTGATAGTTCAGAAGATCTGCAAGGAAACTGTTTTTGTTGGACTGTGTATGTGCAGTCAGATTGCTCCTAACATGATGCTGTCCTGTGACAAATTTGTTTGAACACTCTGTGGTGACAGAGCAGACATTCAGCACTATGTAGCTAGCCTCTCTTTAGTATTTACATTAAAAATGTGAGATGCTCATAATTCTGCAGCACCGCTATGTCTCTTCCAATACGTTTCTATCTTACTACTTCCCTTGTGCTATCTTCTGGAAGATGATGCTTTTTTAGAGAAGTCAGATGGTGCAGCCATGAAATCCCCTGCATCTTTACTCAATTACTGTGATGCACTAATCTCTGGAAAGTTCTTTCTGGAGCTATTGCTTTCTAGGAACGTTTCAGCCTTGGGGAGGCTGCAGAAAAATCATCACTTACACTTCTACTCTCCCTCAAATAATATGGCAGGACAGGGAGCGAGCACTACTCCTTGGTGCAGCGGCCTTTTATTATTATTCACTCATGTTAAATAGTAGTATTGTCTTGCTTCATAGCAATTTCCCATGCCCTTCGTGTCTCTTTCCAAAGTCAGTGTACGTGCTTAGTGCTGGGGGTTGCTAAAAGTGCCGAAGAAAGCACAGAAGGAGCAAGCTGGGTGTTTGCAGCGTCATTAACCGTCTTTCTGGCTTCGAGGCCGCCAGTCCTTCAGGCCCCTGAGCCCTCCCTGCTCGGGGTAGGTGACACCTCGCAGGGGCGCGGCGGCGGCGCGAGGCCGCGCACGCGCCTCCCCGGAGCGGCCG